ATATATAAAGATTTTCTGGTGAGTCAGACATGATTATTGCATTTTTTTCTACCTAGTAAGTTATGACGATGTTGAGTAGCTTACTCTCACAAAAGATGCAGATATCCACAATGTGGATGGAACAGATGATTGTTACTATGCACAAAGACATCTTCTGCAGACATATGGCATGGAAGAAGGCGATGCATTTTATACTGTGGTTTGTTTTTTTTCACAGTTTTTCATCTTAATGGACTTAAATGCGGTGCAATGAGCTGTTGCTGAGAACTAGGAAAAACTGTGCGTGAGTATTATGATAAAACTTTGGTAAGTCCGTATTTATTTATATAAAAACTGTTTAATTAAATATAAGATCATGTCGCATGATTTTCACTGCCTTATGCATCGCAAAGAAAACCATACTCCTGAATTGGAAAAATAAAAATAATCTTAGCATTAATCAGTATAAAAATCTTCTGTTAGATCATATTAGTCTTGAAACAGCATCTGCCGACACATTGGATCAATCTCTGTGGGCTCCTTTGATCGGCTCCGTTACATAGTGAGGGTGGGTAGTCTGGGATCTGACCTTGTGGGGCCTTGGGGTTGATGTGGAGGCGGGTGTATGGGTTTGGGGCCCCGGGGGGGTTGCCGGGGGCTGGGCTCTTGGGGGTACCTGGGCAGGGGGGCACTGCTTTCCCTCTGGGGAGGGCCTGGGTGGTTCTGGGGGATGTCTGCTGGTGGCTACATGCAGGCCCTCAGGTGGTCTGTGGCGGCGGTCGTGGGTCACCGATCTGGTAGCCTGGCTGTGCTGGTGTGGGTTCGGGGTGGGCGCGGGGGCTTGGGGTTCTGGGGGCTTGTCGCCCCCGGGCTTGGGCCTGTGGGGTTCGGGGATCTTGGGCTCTGGCGGGCGGGTTGCCGGGCTCTGGGCCGGCTTGCGCTCTGGTGCCCGGTTCTGGGCGGGGGCCTTCGGCTCGCTGGTGGGTTGTGGGTTCATGGGCTGGGGGGTTGGGTGTTTGGGGGCGTGACCAGTGGCCCCTAAGAGGGGGTAGTTTGACCCAGCCTAGGTGTCTAGTGTGCTATGTGTTTTGAGAGATGTCCGAATGAGGGGTGGGTGTAGTATTTCTTCTGGGGTGGGGATGGGGTGGATGTCCTTGGGGGCGGCCCGAGACTGTGCATGGCCGGCTGGCTGGCCCCTTTCCTGTGGTGGGGGCTCGCTCCCGGTGCTTCCTGGCACTGTTGGTGGTTGGGCGGGCGCTCTTGGCCGGGTCGTCCTGGTGGGGTTTGGCTCCATCTGGTAGCGGGCTGACTGCGGTCTGTGGGGGTCCTGGTGGCCCTCGGGTGTGTAGGCTGCTGGTGCGGCTTCTGGCGGCCCTCGGGGCTCTGTCCCTCTCTGGTCTGGAGCTCAGCGGGCCTGGCGGTCGGTCCAGATGGAGAGGTGTCTTGGCCTCAATCCCTGGGTGGACCTTGGGGGG